CTCCCGCTTGGACTACTGCAATGCGCTCTATGTGGGGCTACCTTTGAAGGTGACCCAGAAACTACAACTAATCCAGAATGCGGCAGCCAGACTGGTGACTGGGAGCGGCCACCGAGACCATATAACACCGGTCTTGAAAGACCTACATTGGCTCCCAGTACATTTCCGAGCACAATTCAAAGTGTTGGTGTTGACCTTTAAAGTCCTAAACGGCCTCGGTCCAGTGTATCTGAAGGAGCGTCTCCACCCCCATCGTTCAGCCCGGACACTGAGGTCCATCACTGAGGGCCTTCTGGTGGTTCCCTCACTGCAAGAAGCCAAGTTACAGGGAACCAGGCAGAGGGCCTTCTCAGTAGTGGCACCCGCCCTGTGGAACGCCCTCCCACCAGATGTCAAAGAGAACAACAACTATCAGACTTTTAGAAGACATCTGAAGGCAGCCCTGTTTAGGAAAGCTTTTAATGTTTGATGTATTACAGTATTTTAATATTTTTTTGGAAGCCGCGCAGAGTGGCTGGGGAAGCCCAGCCAGATGGGCGGGGTATAAATAATAAATTATTATTATTATTATTATTATTATTATTATTATTATTATCACCAGTTTTAAAAGGCTCTCACATAGTACCATTTGGAAAGATTATTTACCTGAGATCTTAAAGAGCTGCTGCCAGTCCGAATAAACAGCCCTAGACAAGATGGAGTTCTGTCTAACAAAACGTGACTATTTTATATCTTTGGGACCTGCTTGATTCAGTGTCTGGTACAGACTGGCACTATTAAAGGTACCCGCACACCTTCTTTAATGCACAGAAATACTGTATGGCACATCAGCCGCCCTTCAGGAGGGTGACTGTGGAAATACTGCTATTGTGAAAGAACTGGAAATGTTTGCGTTTTCAAGCCCGGTGTCAGAGAGTGAGCCTTGGGGTTGCCATGGAAACCTTTCATGCCACCACTGCAAAAGATGTGAAATCCATAATGTGCAACTGCCTGGCTCTTTGATTTGGTGTTTCTGGGGGAGAGAACATGTACAATATTGTGTGTGGAGTGGGGGGGGGGAGAGGAGACCTAAACTACATTCAGTAATAAAAATGATACAGACAGATGGCAACATGGAGATGGGTCCAGAGAAATCAATCTCAGTAACAAAGGTAATGAACAATTCTTCCTTCCAATATTACTGAAGAAGATTCTGATAAACCAAAAATGTGGGAGAAATGTGATCGCTTTGGAAGTATCTGTCATTGCCTTCCTACATCTATATACACTTCTGAGTGAAAAAAGAAGGCTGTGAAGCATAAATTTCTAGTCACAGAATGGGGAAATGAAGAATATCCATTAATGTAACAAGCAGATTCTCATTTTTCATTTGCTGTTATTGCTAACTGAAATACACCACCCCACACTCCAAGAGATGCTTACCAAGGTCTTTGTTTCCTTTTGGGAACATTGAGGCACAGTGGAGCCTGTGGTTGACCACCTGACAAGTTGTATCATTATACTCCAGGGGTCACCAGCCCAGTGCCTGCGAGCACCATGACACGGGTGCCCCAAACCCAGACTCTGAGCTTTCAATAAAAAGTACCTAGCTCTCCTAGAAAGAAAGATATGGAACAGAAAGTGCAGGTCCCTTCTAAGTAATTTCTGTGAAATGGGAACTGGAACCGAGGAGTGTTCCCTGTTGTTATTTAGGTGGTGACAGCATCGCTGTGGTGGGTGCATGTAAAATCAGGAGCAGCAGGACATAGCTGACTTCCTGTGGTAAGCATGAAGTTGTTGCGGGTGGTTGATTTTCTAATTCTGTGAGTGCCACACCTCACATGGTAGTCATTTTGTGACTGGCACCCCCGGTATTCTTTCAAAATTCAAAATGTCCCCACTAGTTCAAAAAGGACATACAGTACAGTGGTACCTCGGGTTACAGATGCTTCAGGTTACAGAGTCCGCTAACTCAGAAATAGTACCTCGGGTTAAGAACTTTGCTTCGGGATGAGAACAGAAATCGTGCAGTGGCAGTGGGAGGCCCCATTAGCTAAAGTGGTACCTCAGGTTAAGAACAGTTTCAGGTTAAGATCAGACCTCCAGAACAAATTAAGTTCTTAACCCGAGGTACCACTGTACTAGATAGTCAACGTACTGTGAACTGGATAGTTCACAGGTAATGATCACACACAAACATCAGTATGAATTGTTTTCTGTGAAATGACGGATCTTTTATTATAAACTAGTTGGAGTTTCCTGTTCTGTTTCATAAACATTTCAGGCAGGGATCTCTGGGAGGGACCCATTCTCATTGGTCGCTGTTTAATATATAGCCTATATTTTCAAACAAGGCCAGAAACCCCTGGCTAACGTCTTTTCCCCACCCCAGTTTGTGGCTATTTGATAATCTAGAAGATGCATATGAATCACATATGTATCTGTTGTTTGGCTCTTGCACATATCTCAGCTGAACCAAACAACATACAAATGTCATTTAGATATTACAGTTTTACTGGTGTAGGTGTCGCTTTCAGCAGCTGGTCACAGGGAACGAATTCCCAAGGTACTGCTCCAAGAAGCTAAACTAGGGCAGGAAGGGCAAAGTTCCTGGAAAAGCCCTACTTTCAACTGGGGGCTATTGTGTAATGTCCTTCCTTTTCAATTCCTCCCTTCCTTAATCTAGGAGAGCATTCACAATAAGATGCTTATCAAGCCAGGTAATCACATCCACAGCTGTTTCCTGCTTTGTCAAAACCAGTCTGAAGACACGAAAAATAAGAATCTCATCCAGCTGAAGAAACAGACACAAAAGGCATACACTGGGTGAAGAAAAAAAGCAAGACTATATGTCTTTCCAATCACACTGATGTTAACACTCAGCTAAAGGAACTCCTTGTTCCAGTTTGCTTTGGATATTGCCTAAAATATGAACTGTCCTTTAAAAAAATATTTTTGGTTGATTTTGAAGAAAAAGTACAACAAAAAGAGCTGTGTACAATAGTGTATGCGGACGCGGGTGGCGCTGCGGTCTAAACCACAGAGCCTAGGGCTTGCTGATCGGAAGGTTGGCAGTTCGAATCCCCCGACGGGGGTGAGCTTCCGTTGCTCGGTCCCAGCTCCTGCCAACCTAGCAGTTCAAAAGCATGTCACAGTGCAAGTAGATAAATAGGTACTGCTCCGGCAGGAAGATAAACGGCATTTCCATGCGCTGCTCTAGTTTGCCAGAAGCGGCTTAGTCATGCTGGCCACATGACCCGGAAGCTGTCTATGGACAAATGCCGGCTCCCTCGGCCTATAGAGCGAGATGAGCACTGCAACCCCAGAGTCGTCCGCGACTGGACCTAACGGTCAGGGGTCCCTTTACCTTTTACAATACAGTGTATTTCTGCATGTTCAGACTGTTATAGGAAACTAACTCATATGTGTCCATGCATTTGGAACATCTGAGTGTGTCCAGGTTCCAACAGCAAACAATCCCAAGAAATGGGTAGCAGGGTGCCATGTGAGGAATATTGGCTTGTGTGCCAACTGTGCTTCAAGGATAGCTGCAAGGCCCCGGAGGTTCTCACCAGCTGTCTCTTGTCACAGCCAGCAGGAAGGCTGTCTCAGTCTCTGTGCCCAAGTCAGGTTCCTCACCACCCCCACCTGGTGCTACGGCAGCTGTTGTGTCCTGATATGTGTTTGGATCTTTGACTAAGAATCATGGTGCACCATAACGATGGTTGGTGTTATGTACTGAGCTGAATCCTAGAAGAATAGGTTCCAGAATGCAGCAGTCTGATTGGTCTGCAGGAGCCACCCAATCCAATTCCAGGTGGAAGTGAATCAGCGACCTGATTGGCCTGCAGGAGCAGCCAATCAGGATTCTGGAGAAAGTGAATCCGCAACCTGATTGGCCTACAGGAGCAGCCCGGAATTAGCCAATCACGCAGGGCCCATTGTGTAAATAATGTATATACAATGGTACCTCGGGTTAAGTACTTAATTTGTTCCGGAGGTCCGTACTTAACCTGAAACTGTTCTTAACCTGAAGCACCACTTTATCTAATGGGGCCTCCCACTGCTGCCGCGCTGCCGGAGCACGATTTCTGTTCTCATCCTGAATCAAAGTTCTTAACCTGAAGCACTATTTCTGGCTTAGCAGAGTCTGTAACCTGAAGCGTATGTAACCTGAAGCGTATGTAACCCGAGGAACCACTGTATAGCTAGACATTCTGGGGAAAGTTTCATTCATTGCTACTACGAGCTGAATAAAGACCATGAAATTCACACTCGACTCCGAGTATATTTCAGTTGGGTTGCCTGATAGAGGGGAAATCAACAAAACAAAGTCTAGAATAACAAAATAGGTTGTAAACCAGACGTCTTCATCTGCCCCACTTACAATAAAACATTTCTCTTCCATGTCGGTCTCCACAGCCACAGCAGGTACTCTAGCTTTCCAATGGTTTAAATCCCCCCCCCCCCCCGGCGCTCTCTTCCCTCGTATCTCAAGACAGACAGATCCCAACAACATCATTTATTTCCAATCTGTAAGAAGGACCCAACTTGTATTACAATAATATAGTAGAGGAACCGTGTTTCACAATAGAGAAACATGCAGCTTATCTGCATTATTAAACAACAGCTATTACTGCTATATCTGAGACAAGCTGCAATGACCTGTGTTAATAGGGATCGGCTGGCATCTGTCTGCCTCGGGAGACATCGATCCTCAGGAATCCATTGGTGCATGAGTACAGTCAGACAAGATTGTCTTGGAATTTGTCAGGTGATGTTCTCCTATGTAAACATAAGGAGAGAGTACACGTTTTGGATTTTGCTTGGATGGCTCCAAAGAATTTTTCAGTTCCTGCCTACGTAGGTAGTAGACAGCAGCATCCAAGGTGAAGTGTGTGTGTGTGTGTGCGCGCGCGCACACGCACACGTAATAGAATGGTAGAGAACTGTAGAATTGTACAATTGGAAGGGACCCTGAGGATCGTCTAGTCCAACCCTGGCAATGCAGGAATATACAACCAAGCCATACAGGGATCGAACCTGCAGCCTTGGCACTATCAGCACCAAGCTCTAACCAACTGAGCTATCCATAGCATGCGGAAGAATCAGTGTAAAAGAATGAAAGCTGGCGCAGTTGGTGTCAGTGGGTACAATCTATTCCCGAGAGAGGGGGTGGGGAAACATTACACAGAGAACATTACACTCTTCCATAAGCATGGAGATGGAGGAGAAATGCAAATTCACATTCAGATGTATTTAATTAATTAATTAATTAATTAATTAATTTTCTATACCGCCCTAAACCCGAAGGTCTCAGGGCGGTTCACATAAAATACCAAATACATAAAATCAAAACAAAACCAAAAACCCAATTAAAAAAACCACACACAACCAAAAGAGCCAGCCTTTTTTAAAAGGGTATAGGATATAAATCAAGTCAGGCAAAGGCCTGGTTGAAAAGAAACGTTTTTGCCTGGCGCCTAAAAGTGTATAGTGAAGGCGCCAGGCAAACTTCCCTGTAGAGAGCATTCCACAGACAGGGAGCCACTGCAGAGAAGGCCCATTCTCGTGTTGCCACCCTCTTGACCTCTCATGGAGGAGGCACATGAAGAAGGGACTTAGAAGATGATCTCAGGGTCCGGGTAGGTTCATATGGAAAGAGATGGTCCTTGAAGTATTGCGGTCCTTTAAGGTTTTAAAGAGATGACACTCTTTACCATCTTTTGAAGGGGCACGAACAACACAAGTGCAGCTCAGACATGCAGCTTTCCCCATGTTCTAATGATCAAGGGAATTAGGAATGTGTGTGACCCAGTTATTCACATGTACGGTCTTACACACTGTTGTAACCATTCCTACTGTTGGAAATGGCACCTTCTTTACCAGGTTTGCCACAACAAAGATTTTCTCAGACACAGTGAGAGAAATTCTGAAAGTATGTGTGTCCCTTTCCAGTGTGGAAAACCATTAGTACGCCATGGAGAGCAAAGGAGCCCACTCCTAGGCACTGCCATTCAAATGATGTGCATGCCCTATAACAGGGGTCAGCAACCTTTTTCAGCTGTGGGCCGGTTTACCATCCCTCAGACCATGTGGTGGGCCGGACTATATTTTTTTGGGGGGGGGAATGAACAAATTCCTATGCCCCACAAATAACCCAGAGATGCATTTTAAATAAAAGCACACATTCTATTCATGTATAAACACCAGCCAGGCCCCATAAATAACCCAGAGATGCATTTTAAATAAAAGCACACATTCTATTCATGTAAAAACACACTGATACCCAGACCGTCCACAGGCCGGATTGAGAAGGCGATTGGGCCGCATCTGGCCCCTGGGCCTTAGGTTGCCTAGGTAAAGGTAAAGGGACCCCTGACCATTAGGTCCAGTTGTGACCGACTCTGGGGTTGCGGCGCTCATCTCGCTTTATTGGCCGAGGGAGCCGGCGTACAGTTTCCGGGTCATGTGACCAGCATGACTAAGCCGCTTCTGGCGAACCAGAGCAGCACATGGAAACGCCGTTTACCTTCCCGCCAGAGCAGTACCTATTTATCTACTTGCACTTTGACGTGCTTTCGAACTGCTAGGTTGGCAGGAGCAGAGACCGAGCACCGGGAGCTCACCCCGTCGCAGGGATTCAAACCACCGACCTTCTGAGCAGCAAGTCCTAGGCTCTGTGGTTGCCTACCCCTGCCCTATATCTTGTAACTGATTACACAGGGAAAAGCTTCCCTGCCTCCCTATTTTATTCAGGTGGCACCCCTGATGGAGACGGATGGTTCTGGGAGCCGTTGACTAGGACTGGAACTTCCGCAGGTCTTCTTCTAACCCAGGAATTATAGGCAGCACACGGAGTCAGGCTGGCAACAGCATCCATTTGATACCTGCTGAGAGTTGGTTTTGTGAAGTCCTCTGTAGTATCACATTAGTTCTCTGGAATACTGGCTCTTCTTGACAACTTCACCATGCCCTGAAGCCCAAGGAAGCTTTGTCACAATAAACCCGGTTCAGTTTTCCTTCGACATCCTCATTTGATCTGTGAGGCAAAAGAGGAGGAGCATTAGAAAGCCACCTGAATTTGCAAAGGATGCTAAACAGGATGCTGCAAACAGCATTTAGAACAAAAAGGAGAGAGGGAGATAAATTTAAAGGATGCAGAACTGTGCTGACCTAGCAAACACAGGTCACCTCTGGGAAGGAAATCGCAAATGAGATGAATTCTAGGAAAGTGTGATATTGTCCATCTGGAGAATAATTTGCAGAGAGAGAGAGACGTTTGCATCCTTCTCTGGTTCCCCTCCGCTTTCCTAATTCATTCACCCTCCCTATTCACTCTTAATCAGATGTAAGAGTTTGATTTGTGTTGGCATCTAGCAAACCAAACAGAAAAAGATTTGAAAACGTAAGAAACTTGTTCCTCTTAAGAACCTTGTTCCTCCTCAACTGTTATTAATTAATTTACTTATTTAAAATGGATGTTTTAAAAGGTCTTAAATTATATATTTATCAGTTATGTTTTGATGACTACAGTCATACCTCGGGATAAATGTGCTTCAAGTTAAGTATTTTCGGGTTGCACTCCGCGGCGACCCGGAAGTAACCGAGTGCGTTACTTCCGGGTTTCGCCGTGCGCACATGCGCAGACGGTCAAAATGATGTCACGCGCATGCACGGAAGCGGCGAAACGTGACCCACGCACGCACAGATGCGGGTTGCATTCGCTTCAGGATGCGAACGGGGCTCCGGAACGGATCCCTTTCACATCCCAAGGCACCACTGTATTTTAGAAGCTATTTTGTAAAGTACGGCTCTTGTGAAGTGGCTGATGAATGTGTTAAGCTGTTGGCCTCCCCCAGGGTTTCCTTCTCCAGGACCACAATCTCCTTTCCCCCAAAATGGATGTTTCTTTTCAGGATGACATCTTCTCTTTTCCTACCTCCTTTTCCCTCCCCAGGACCACCACGGGTTCTTTCTTCCTCAGCTTCCCAACTCACAAACAGGTCCCCATTCCTGAGACCACCTTATTTCCTATCCACAGCTGCTCCCCAGAACGATGATGTCACCCTCCCTCAGAGCCTCTCCTTCCCACGTTTTCTCCTGAGAAGCCCCATTCAGGTTCTGACTTGATTCTGAAAAGGTCACTCCATGGGCCTCTTCTGCCGCCTAGTGGTCCAGACTGTCATCACAGCATGATGACGAACTTGAGTAAACGCAGGATAAAGAGGGAGAGATAAATATCATAGGAATACAGCCCAACAATGAAAACAGAACAGCAGGGAGAGCCAGATAGTGCCACCGGTCAGAACTAAAACTAGAAAGCTTGAGTGAATAAAAAAAAAAGGTCCTCACCTGGTGCTGAAATGGTAACAGAGCTCCTGACAGGCTAGCCTTCTGCCGAGAGCATTCCTGAGATAGTGTGCCACAACTTAAATCGTTTTATCACCTGCCTCACTTCATGGTCCTATGATCAGGTAATGGAATGACCCCGAGAAAAACCTCTGAGGAGCACCTTAATACCTGGGCAGGCATGTGTAGGAGAGGACAGTCCTTCAAAAATCCTGATTCCACACCATTTAAAGATCAAAGTCAGCACAATGAATTAGGCCTGGAAATGGACTGTGAGCCACTGCAGCTATTTTAAAACTGGCAAGATATATCCAGGTCAAATTAATAACCTAGCTGCCATACTTTGCACTAACTGTAGCCTGTGAATTGTAGTTTCTTTAAAGATGGCCCCACAAGCATTGCAATACAGCCATACCTCATGTTACGTCCGCTTCATGTTACGATCTTTCAGGTTACGTCCCGCGGCGACCCGGAAGTACCGGAAAGGGTTACTTCCGAGTTTTGCCACTCGCACATGCGCAGAAGCACAAAATGGCATCACGCACATGCGCAGAAGCGGCAAATCACAACCTGCGTGTGCGCAGACGTGCCGCTGAGGGTTGCACTCTTTTCATGTTATGAACAGGCCTCTGGAACGGATCCCGTTCGCAACCAGAGGTACCACTGTATTACAAATGGGATATTACCATAGTATAATAAACTATGTCTCAAGCTGTCTCTGACTCTCTAGAAGAAACCACAAGGGACACACTTGCCTCAGTTGGTGAACGGTGCTTCAGTCCACTGAGGCCATTCGGATCAAGCTAAGGTTGGCTCTAACCACATCCCCAAGCTGAAGAAATGGTCCATGCACCTGCAGAAGAGCAAAACACCATCCTCCAAGTCAGATGAACCACCAACCAACATCTTGTCAAGACATAGCAACTTGTCAAGACATAAAAGGTAAAGGGATCCCTGACCATTAGGTCCAGTCGTGGCCGACTCTGGGGTTGCGACGCTCATCTCGCTTTACTGGCCAAGGGAGCCAGTGTACAGCTTCCGGGTCATGTGGTCAGCATGACTAAGCCGCTTCTGGCAAACCAGAGCAGTGCATGGAAACGCCGTTTACCTTCCCGCTGGAGCGGTACTTATTTATCTACTTGCACTTTGATGTGCTTTCAAACTGCTAGGTTGGCAGGAGCAGGGACCGAGCAATGGGAGCTCACCCCGTCACGGGGATTCAAACCGCCGACCTTCTGATCGGCAAGTCCTAGGCTCTGTGGTTTAACCCACAGCGCCACCCGCGTCCCATTGTCAAGACATAGCTTCAGTTTATTTGTCTTTATGCAGAGGCATTACAGGGATACAGCTTCACCGGGTTTAAACAAAAGAGGAAAGGATTTGGGCATCCTCAACTAAAACCTAATGATACCTCAACTCAGACATCTGGAGGACCACAGTGGTTGTAGATGTTGAACAGCAAGGGGGACAAAGCAGAGCTGTGCTACACAGCATCACTGCCATGAACAAGAGCAGCAGTCTCCCACTCAGGGATCTTGACCCAAAATATATATTTATGAACAGAATAATACTGAAAATCCAAGTGTGTGGGTGTGTTTGTTTTCTTTCTTTAATTTATTCTTTTGATTAGTTTCAACTAACGATCTAAGTGCTTGAGTAGACTGGTGTGACTTTCTTAAGGAACAGCCTCACGACTCTCTTTAGAAAGGTATTTATTACCTCTGATTGGCTCATGAAAAGGTTAAATG